TGTAGTCAAACTTGTATAAAACAAAGTTTAAAAAAATTACTATTTAATCCAATTTCTAGCACAATTATTAATTTGATAAACTTGTTAAATTTAGTTTCATCCGAAAATGACGTACCCGGCTCAGCGTACTTAATGGGACAATGGATTAAGTATGATAAGAGCTTTGCGACCAACAATGGCCTATTTACGTTGACCGTTTCAGACGAAAAGTATTTCAACGCATTTAATATATTCGGAAAAATTTGCAATGACTTAGCACAGTGTTTTGACTTGAACATTTTTAATGTCGTGAAAGATACAACCGTACCCAATAAACTTACGTGGAAATACACATTTAACATCACCGAAATGACCGACACAGAATATATGAAATTATTTTTTGAAATCCAATACTTTAAGCCAGAAAGTACTAGTTTTACTAAAGATTTTACATTTAAGATTGATTTTAAGTTGGAAAATTTTGGCAGTCCATGCGAAATGCTTAAAATTAAGAATTTTTGCAATTCGCATGGTACTTACGATCAAAAAACTTGTGATCAAGTTATGGCTGATCCTTTAAGTTCCGCCCCCTACAAATGTTTGTGCAAGAATGGTTATACTGGAGATAAATGCGACAAGGTTAACCTTTGCTTATCAAATGATTTTTCCGGAATGGTATGTTTGAATTATTTATTATGGTATTGAGAAAATAATATAATTATTTAATTTTATTTGATAGAAATCTGCCAAGTCTCTATGTAGTAAAATAGCTCCAGGCCTCCAATGCGATGATGTTGGCTCCACATTTGATGTCATTAATGTTGATTACACAAAACTAGTTTACAGATGTGCATGTACCGATGTGCATAATGCGGATAAGAAATTTATTTGGGATAGGTAACTATTTGCTGTATAAAAGCATTTGATTTAATTTTAAAATTAATTTTAGTGGCATCACGGATTGTAAAGAACTAGCCCCTCCTAAGGCAACCAATTGGGAAACTGATGGCAGCCCTGATAAATATCACCCGACGACAAATGTTGGGAATAGTTTGGACTACGAGTTCACCGAGATGAGTACTACAAAAGTGGACCTGTGCCCCACCATTGACTACACACTTAAAGATCCGGCCAAAAAGGTTACTCTCCAAGTTAATTATATAGAGGGCACGAGTGCACCGAAAAAATTATTTATACAAGAATTGTCCCCTGATCAAACTCACATTAATTTTTGTTTGCGAGATTTTATCATGACACCGAATGATAAACAATTTAAAATATCGATTGTTGCCAACGATGCCGACACTGTTAAATTTGATACACTACATGGTGTCTTATTTACCCCTACTGTCAAAAATATTAATATCAAGGTCATTAAACCAGACAATTATGTCAAATTGATACCGGGGTTCAACAAGAACCAACAATGGACTTCATTTCCATATACCGATCTTAAATGGATACTGAGCCCTGATGAAAAATCATACAGTATTTCAGGTAATACTTTGAAAAAAATTATTTATATATATATTATTAAAAATTAATATTTTAAACATAATTTAAATTTTTTCAGTTAACGTTAAGAAAAATGGGCAAGTTGAATCATATTTTATTAGCGATTGGATTGAAAACGTACCGGAAATTTATAAAGAGCCGAGTATAACCCTCGAAACTGACCCCGCTGATAAAAATCTTTTAGTCATCGGGAAAGCTATCTTATGGGACAAAGCCGGAGAGGAATTTCCGGTAAATCCACAACAAATTCGTAGCGATTCCGGCCGACAAGTCATCGATATTCCCAAAGTTGATCGAAAAGATTCAAAATATTTTAAATTGGTATTAAAATTCACATTCAAGGGCAATGACAAAGATGATTCAAAAACATTTAACGTTAAAATTAACGACATTTCAATTGGAAATCCGTGCGATGATAAAATTAGCGATAAAAAACCATGTAACGCTAAAGGTATATGCTCCGGCATTAAAACACAATTGCCAACTAGCCCCGTTGATTATAAATGCGCATGTTATAATTATAATGAATATTTCGGTTATGATTGTGAGATAAAACGTTGCACAGATTCAGGTGTAAGTAATTTTTAAAAATTATTTCCAGCATATTTTATCATTTAAATCTTTGTAGATAAGAGATAAATGCGACAAACTGCCTAGATTGCCAACATTTGCTAGCTATTGTAAACAGTTAGATGGAACTGATTATGAATGCAAATGTCCTGAAAATGAATTCACATTTGATGCTAAAACTAAAACGTAAGATTGAAATTTTTAAAAATAATTATACAACAAAATATATTTACGTTTATTGAATATAGTTTGAAATATTATATACATAACAACACATTTGATTTATATAAAATATTTAATTTTTATAATCAAAAGTTAATTCACATTAAAGTTGTATAATTTTCTTTAAAATAATTATAAATTTTAAATGTAAATATTTTTAAATTCATAGTTGTACTCAAGCAAAACATTACCAAAAAGTCGTGACAAGGTGCGATAACAAGGAATGTGCATTGTTCGCCCTAGAATCTGGCAAACTGGAATGGGCAAACAAAAATATGCCCCAAATCTCGCACAATGACGATGTATTTCCGTTATACGTGACAGATAAAACTAATCAAAAACTAACTCAAAAAGTCACAGTTGCCGATACTACTAAAGATTATTGTTATACATTAAAATACTATGCTAATGCTGGTAGCACACTTACAGTTGCCTCCGGGGTTAACACGGGCGGATTAAAGTATACAAGGCAATTTGTTGATGCCGATTTAAGCGAGCAAACACTTTGCCTATCCGAGTTGACACCGACAATTACTCAAGCTGCAATTATTACATTCACAACGACATTAGCTGCGGATCAACATATGGGTGTTAATATTCCCGACAAAGATATTACTAACCCGCCGTTGTCTATATTGGATAATAGATTAATTTCCTGGATAGATTCTGTAAATACATTTGATGTGTTATTCCCGACAAAAATCCCAAATTTCCCGCCACCAAAATCGAACGAACCAAGTAAAGCATTTTGGAATTATATTGTTAATACCACTAAATTCGAGTTTAACCGTAAGTTGAATTTTGTATAATAAAATGTGTGTTAAATTAATGTTGAATTTTTAATCAAAATTTTTTAATTGTAGCAAAAAATACTGGAACAAAAATTACATCCTATTTAATAAGTAAATGGATTGCAAACACAACTGAAACAGTCAATTTGAGATTTGACATTTCCACTGAATTTACTGGTTATGCGATTGAGTTTGTCATATTTGATGATAAAATGACAGAAACACCCGGCTCAACTGTAGTTATTGGTGACAAACTAATAAACGATAAAGTATGTGAATTTAAAATTATTAACAATAATTATTAAAGTTATAGAATATTAAATTAGTTTGATTAATTAATTCTTTATGCTAATATTTAATAAGATATTAATAGATTTTAATCATTGTTATATATTTTTTCACTAATAGGCAACACAGTTACCAACTAATAAAATCCCAATTGGTAAAATAGCTAGTAGCACTTTTAAATTAGGTTTAAAAGTGACATACACCAGGAAAAAAGATGAAACAAAGCCATTGTTCACGATTGAAAACCTAGATCTAAATGACCCGTGTGTGGATGATGCACATAAATTAATTGATTGTAATACCAAAGTTAGTAAGGAAATATGCACGAGAGATGTACTGGATAAAACAAAAGGAGCATTAGTATTTGTGTGCGGTAAATGTAATACAGACAAACCAGGTGATTATTGGGGACCAAAATGCGAACACAAAAACTATTGTAATCTACCATACGGGGTAAATATTAAAAATATATTTTAACTTTTTGTAATGATGTCTAAAAGGTTTACAATTACTAGAATTCGAATTATAAATAATTTAATATATTTTAGGAATTTTTATATAAAATTAATTATTTATTGATAATTAAGCAAAAATATATTTATTAATCTTATTTTACAGGGTCAATCAAAAACAGGTACAGAAATTTGTAAGGGGGATGCACATAGTACCGGTGATTGTTCTATCGATAAACAAGGTGATGCATTTAGATGTAAATGTAAATCTGACGATTTGTATTGGGAACGATCTGGAAAAGATACAACATTAACAATGGGGTATATACCAATTAAATATAAAATAATCATAATAAATTTAAAAATCTTACTTATCTATTAATCTAGGTGCTTTCCATTACCTGTGTGCATGGGTGTAAAATGTGAGGCTCATCAAGAATGTGACGAAAAGACAGGATCTTGTAAAGCAGCAGAGGGTTATTGGCAAAAGGATCCGTCTAAAAAGACTGAAATATTTAAATATGATCCATGCGATCAAAAATTTAGAAAGGAGGCTACCGATCTATTTAAACAAGAAATTCCTTGCAACGATCCTTTAGCTAAGTGTCGAATAGATTTTAAAGATCCTAAAGTCCAATATTGTTCATGTCCCGTTGGGTATCAAAGAATAGGTAAGTTTAAAACCAATCAGCAATATTATTTAATAATTAATATATTAAATATATTTAATTTATCATAAATATTAATACACATATACATAAACATAATCATTAAATTGGAAGCATGGGTTGATGTCAGTAAATTATACAAAAATAATCGGTATTAACCCAACTATATGATAATATCCATCATTTGAATTGATCATGTTTTGCCAATATCTTAAACCAGTCTCGTCAATCAAATTATATTCATTGAGTGATATACAAATTTTACGTATATAATAACATTATTCTTATGGACAGTTCAAATATCCAGTAATTTTTTATATAAATTCGTTTACAAATATTTTTCGTAAACTTAACGAATCTATGTATTGATATCTAAAGGTTTATTTCCGTAAAAGTATTTGAGAAGTTCTGTAAAAAGAAATGTTATTTAATATGTAAAATGCCTATGTCACCTAGTAATTATAATTGAATTGACAGGACTATTAGATGATATTAGCCAAATATGATCAATTCAAATGGTCGATACGGTCATATCGTTAGGGGTAACACTAATAATTCTTGTACAATTTACTGAAAACTTACAACCCTCATAAGTATATAATATAAAATAATTTTAAGACTAACACTGTTAAATCAACTAACGATTTAAAATATTTGGTATTAAAAAATATCAATTCTATAAGAAATTAATTATAATTTTTTATAATAATTAAATTAAAATGTTAATTTGTGTACAGAGGGTGCTACCAAAGAAGACACAAAATGTGACCCTTATTTATGTAAATCACCTGTACTCAATCCGTGCCAACATGGTTGCCAAGCAGATAAAACACAAAAGTTTGGCTACAAATGCTTTTGTCAACCTAATTACGAAGTTGACCCAGCTGATCCGACTAAATGTAAACAGAAAACAACACCATGCGATTGTCCACTTATAAATGGATATTGCAATGAGGATAATAAATGTGATTGCATATATTCCCTTGGATATGTGAAGAGTAAAAGTGGTAAAGCTTGTGAAATAAGTGGTATGTTAAATTTTAAATTAAAATAAAATTAAATTTTTAAGAATGTTTAACCCTATATTATTAGATCGTGGACAGTATTGCCTAAGTGGGAATGTGGAGAAAACTGAAGGTTCAAGACAATGTGCGTGCGATGACGCAGCCGGGTACGTTTTCGATGCTACTAAAAAACAGTGCGTATTAAAACCCATTTGTGGTGAGGGAGGTGTTGGTCGCAAAGATTGTGACTCCAAAAAAGCATTGTGCTTTTTAAACCTTGATGATCCTACCCAAAAATACCAATGCGCCTGTCCAAGAGGCACAATTAAAGACGAAAATCAAATTTGTGTTAACGTTTGCGATTTGAAAAGTCGACGGGAAATGTGTGCCGCGGTTAACGCTGAATGCAATCCCGACGCCGATGATACGAAACATACCGAGGTTGATCAATTTTGCCGATGCAAACCTGGTCTAATGTTCTATAATAAACGTTGCGTCGCCACTCAATATTCAGTGACTTTCTCACTGAAACTCAAATACATAAAAGACAATCACAAGATATATGTGCCATTTGCTTTACAAACACAACCATCGAGCGGGGTTGATTTTTCGAAACACACTAAACCAATGGAGGATATTGATGGAATATATCAAGAAATAGAAAATCTAAACACATTGAATGGAAAATTGGAAAGTGCAAAATTGGATGATGCTAATAAATGGAAGTTGTGGACTGAGATTGAAAAAAGAATGCGCAATTTATTATCCAACATGAATGATATTTTTAAAGTTGGCGGTAATGCCGACGATGCCATCGTATTACAAACATTTGATTACAATCCGAATGGTGACTACTACACTTGCCAATTTTCGGTGGTGTTTAATGGAAACGCCAGGGTCAGCCACGCGATCAAAGAATATTTCACAACAGACCTATGCCACGACCCCGTAGTCAAGGGCTCTACAGAGTGTTTTATGTCGGTTTACGACGAAACCGGGCCCAAGCCGTCGTTTGACATTCCGACCGATCCAACAAAATCCGATAAATTTCTAGTACCTAAATCTGATCTTGATGGTACATTTGCAATTAATCAAAAGGTAGATAATTGTTAAGCATTTAGCCTGTTCAATAAAAATTGTTTATTTAAAATTATTTACTTTCAAACTTTTATATAATTTAGAATTGCGAAAAGAAATATGGACTATGCTCGCAATATTCTAAGTGTACTCCTGATCCTAAAGGGACGTCACTATACTCTTGCAATTGTAACTCTAAATACTTTGACGTTGATAAAGATCGTACTCACGCATTGCAAGTGTACAATAAGCTAGATTCAAATTTCCAAATTGAATTTTGTATAGGTAAATTAATTGGAAACTTATGGCACTTAAATTATGATAAATTAATCAAAATATTTATATTTCTACAAACTAGTCAAGGACCTATGTAAGGGTCTTTGTGGCACCTCAGAAGCCGGAAAATGTCTACAAAATACGACTGAGACAGACGACGGTGGGACTTCGGTAGCTGGCTGTCAGTGCAACAAAGGCTATACATTAATTGCATCCAAAAATCTATGCTCTCGTAAATATTATTTTAAAAATATAATGTTAAATTTTTGATTCACAAATAATTACAGTATATTTTAGAATCTAGAAAATACAGTTTATAAAATCTTTAATCTAGATAGCAACGTTAGATAATTTGTAAAATTATTAATTCAATACTAATAATTTTTATATGATTAGCAGGATTAAATGCTAAATTTTTTTAAATTTAACTAAACGACCTCTTAATTAATATTGATAGCTAATTGCGATGGTTACGAGTGCAACGGTCACGGAAAGCCTAAACGCCTGGACGATGACATTGGAAAAGGACAGTGCGGTTGCGATTGCGAAGAGAAATACTACGGCGAGAACTGTAAGGACGAGTACAGCGCCGCAATGGGCGGTTGGATCGCCGGTATTGTCATCCTAGCCGTCGCCGTAGTCATCGCCAGCATAGCCGCCGGGGTGTTCTGGCGCCGGTATGTGTCTTAATCCTAGATTCAATTTAATTGAACATGTTAATTCTCTATGAACAAATACTCATACGAAACTCTCTACATACTTTTTCTACCCTTCAAACTATGTGTAATATATTCAGAGCAAAAAAGCAGTCGAATGCACCGGTAGTGTTAAATCGGATGCAAAGGGAAAGGTTGGTCTCACTTATAA